GTCAGCAGGCGAACTCATCCAACTGAACCCCTGAGTCACTGAATCGTTGATTCTCATCTCCTGTGGACACAGGACACATGAATGGCGAAAGTCTACATTTTGCAAATGTGATAAGTCCTGAAGCTTCCTTAACAAGGTCAAATATTCAAATGTGATGGAAATGTTTGTGATAACTGACAAAGAGCATTGGACAGCTGATTCGTCCGGTTTTGGACTCGTCAGCATATTCTTACAACTGTCTTCGTGGCTGCTTAATCAATCGGCACGTATGTACCTACTTTGTTTATTAAATTTCCGCGGTTAACTGCTGAATGGCACCCCAAGCAGTGTAACATGTTTTCGCAGTACAAAGTTCTTCGTTTTTAGCATTAGCTCATAATGTACGCAAGATAATAACACATTCCCCAATCTGACGGTAGTGACATTGTGGCAGAACCGTTCAAGGGAAGTGCGTAGTAAGCAGTAAGTAAGCTTAGATGTACGTACGAGTGCGATTTTGTGTAGCCGAAAGGCATCACTCAACCGGTTTACAAAGTGATGGAATTAATTGTTGTTTCAACCGAATCTTTTGTAGCATTGTTATCCCCGATGTATCATCTACACCTGCTCCGTTCCTCCGTAGTTCAAAATCTGTGAAGGTTGTACATCAATATCGGAGGCTCTTGAGTAAAGCACGTACATATGCTAATCGGTGTTCAATTGACACTTGGCGTTCATCTTTACGCGCGCGCCTTTTACGCCCTGACCTTCTGTGATTGATGGCTTTTACACTGAATTCCCCTTCCCTTGTACCACGGATTTACCCTATATAGACTCAGACCGCGTCATACTCCGAGAGCAATGTTTTTTTCAATGACCGATCCTAAGCGTTCGGATTTAATGCATGGGGCCTGTTCCCATTTTCTTGTCACGATCACACTTGATTTCCGTTTCATCAACGAACGTGCATGCGGGTTATCACTTGCGAATGAAATTATGCTCTTTATTGGATGCTGTTACGAAAGACCCATCGATCTATATCCACTGATTAATGTTCAGCAGCATATGCGTCACTGGTAGACCTTGAAAAATGAATGGAAACAGTTTTAAATATACAGTTAGTGTGAGAAGTGCGATTAGTGTTTATTCCCTTAACAGATTTTTGTCAGTTACTGGAGAGCACTATTTGCTTTTTATGCCCCCCCCCCACACACAATCATCTGTTTCACAGGCATGGACTTCCGACCGACAGAATTGCTTGCGCGTTACAATCTTGCCTCTCCGCTTAAACGAAAGCACTCTGAGTTGGAAGAGGATCGTCTGCTTGCCGGTCTCATGCACAATCTGATCGCATTTATGGTAATGATGGGCGTGGAGCGTACCGACATTCGCCGTAAAATCCGGCGTCTACTGGCCAAAAGTCATATGGGATTGCATTATTCACAAGAAATTAGCAATCTGTTGGATGTGCTTGATTTATTGGTACGTTTTACCTCTCGTCCTTTTCATTGAATAAATAGTTTTCTAAATGTCTTCTTGTTCCGGAACCAAGAAGCTCCCATCATTCATTGGCTGCCATGCGATGCACAGAACAAGTTGGGCGTCTCTGGGGGAGGGCAATGCACTACGTCCGGGGCGAAAAGTCGGTAACCTTACCAGCTGATGTAGTCTAATGTGATATCCCAGTACTATGGATTGAAGTCCATCTCCAGGATGCCCAATCGAACTTCTGACTGTACATTGAGTTGTCTAGACTATCCTTTTTATTATGGCCAAGCTGAATTCTGGGTTGGTATGTCCCTTAAACGAGCTTGCACCTTGCCTTTCCGGTTGTGAACCCGGACCATTGCT